TGAATAGCTAGCAAAACAAAGTAAAGGCTAACTGGTATTGTAATGGCTAGCCAGCACCTACCTGTTGGGAATAAAGCGCTGATGTAACGCTGTAAACGCCCATTGCGCACCAGAAACGCATTAATTCATCACAATAGTCATAACGACAGGATAGATCCGTGCCCTGTCCTGACTCCCGAGTATTACTGCCGAATAAAAACAGTCCGAAAGTTTCTGTATTCCTCAGTCCAACTCGACGCACACGCGCGCGCGGACTCGCTGGATCGGAGCTCAAGCGCACTCGGAATCCTTGGAAACGCCACCCTTTCGCAAGCGGTGTGAGCCCACACCCAATCAGATTCGTTTTAACAACCTGCGTTTAAATTTCAGCCAATGGTTCGCGTTGTTACATGTACTGCTTTCTCCAAACAATCTGTTACCTCTATCAAGTTATTGTTTTGTTTTTTAAACTTCAGTTTTCCTAATACTCAACACGTCTTCTTATGAACAATACATTCTTGAAGCGTTAAACACACTGTTGTGTGAGTATACACTTCCATTTGTTAACATTACATACTAGTTACAACCAGGGGTTTTATAGTTATCTAAATCTAAAACCAGAAAGCCTCCATACATCTTAACATCAACAAAAATAAATTAAATTCAGCTATAGTCAACACTGCCAACACTTTAAATCATTTTGAGACACATTTTTTTATCTAACTTACATACTACATAAAAAATTAAGTAATACTACATATAGAACATTAAGAGTGGGACAGACAGCAGCACTGGCTGCCAGATATGTGTGGATGGATATATGTGGATGGATGTGCCACAGCCTGAGAGACAGTAGATAAAATTATTGATGTATGTAATGTGCTGTGGTGTGAAGTAACTAATTACAAATACTCAAATTACTGTAATTTAAGTAGTTTTTTTCAGAAACTGTAATTTACTAAGTAGTTTAAAAAAAAATAATTGTACTTTTCCTTGAGTAAATTTTTTTCGTGCTGTAACTGTACTTTTACTCCACTGCTACTTGATGTGTGGTTACTTTTAGGTTGTACATTGATGTCGTTGGTCTGATGTTGGGTTCTTATGTCAAACTGATTTTCATTTCCAAACTAAATGCAATGTCCCCACAATGTTGGGATACAACGTCAATTTGACATCATGTTGACGTTTTGTACCTGCTGGGTGTTTAAGGGCATTTCGGTCATCTTACACTCTCAGAAATAAAGGTACGCGAACTGTCACTGTGGTGGTACCTTTTCAAAAGGTACAAACTGGTACCATAAAGGTCAATATTGATACCTCAAGGTTACATATTAGTACTTAAAAAGTACAAATGTGTTCCTCTTAAAATGTTAAGGTTCTAACATATGCTATTAAGATACCAATATGGACTTTTTAAGTACAAATGTGTACCTTTTGAAAAGGTACCATCACAGTGACAGCTCGCATACCTTTATTTCTGAGAGTGTACAGTAAACAGGGTCCGTGTGTAAAGATTTTGGACATCTGCACTAAACATGTACTCAATGGAAAGTAAAAGTACACTTTTTTAATTACTTAGTAAGGTACAATTTCTTAGAAAAACTACTCAATTACAGTAGTTTGGGTATTTGTAATTTGTTACTTTACACCACTGTCTATCACAGTGCCCCATTGTCTGTGTGTTTATATGTTAAACACTGTGGTTTGAAATGTTTTTCTAAACATGTTTTACGTTTTCATTTCTTACATTAAATTTTTAAATATTATATTTTTCAATGTATAAAACAAATATATATATATATATATATATGGCAAAT